AAAGCCAATTAACAATATAATTTTTAAACATTATCACATTTGATCTTCAGAAAATCCCTCAGCAACAAAGGACACATATATCCAAGAGATTTCGCATATGTGCAAAAAGTAAGCACATTTTTTTTTTATAGTTTTGGGAGACTACCATCTAAGAGCAATACATTGACATATTTGGTTTCTTTTGAGACCGTTCTTCTTGGCTTATAGATGTCCACCTTCTTTCTATGTCTTCAAATGGTCTTTCTTCTGTGCATGTCTGTGTTCTAATCTCCTCTTCTTATAAAAAGGCCAGTCATAATGGATTAGGGCCCATCTTACTTTGGTCTGATTTTCATTTAATTACCTCTTTAAGAATTATATCTGCAAATATGGTCACATTCTGAGGTACTGGGGGTTAGACTTCAACATGTGAACTTTGAGAGAACATAATTCAGACCATAACCATAAGTGATAGAGCAAGAACATGAATCTAGGTATTGATTGAGATGTGTGTGTGTGTGTGTGTCTGTGTGCACATGTGTGCGCGTGTGTGTGGGGGGGGGGGATTCGTCCACCATAGTCTCTCTATGAAAGCCAATGTCCTATTTTATTCATGTGGAATAACTGAACATGAATGAAAACAAGATAGTGAGCCAGAACATACAGCTTTAAGAATGTTATGTTGAAAAGTGCAACATAAAATAGTAAAGGATTCTGGAAAGATAGCAGCAATGGTGGTATAGTTTTAGAATATTATGAAATTTCCCCATAAATAGAGGTGGGGCAACTATAACAGCAAAGCAAACCTGGCACATACCATCTGTGATTAAAACTAAGTGGTAAGCTACACACATGAATGCCCAAATAGGAACAAACGGGCACAAACTACTAAAAATTATATGACCCACACAATAACAACATCTGTTTGAGAGGAAGGAGGGTGGGAGAAAGACAAATGAGAACTTCAAACTCGCAACAAGCATTTAAAGGAAAGTGCAGCAAGTTGAACTAAGAACAGCAGCCAAAATTGTGAGGTGGATTGCAACAAAATCTGAAAGTGCTGGAAAAGTGTGGGCCCTATGAACCAACCAACAGAGATCCATTCCAGGACAAAAGCCCACAGGATGAGAAACTACTGGGAGCAAAATCTAAACTGAAGAGGACAAGATCAATAAGAAAGAAAGGAAAAAGAAGATACAAATAAAAGTGGGGATATAACATCAAAAGCACCAATCATGGAATAAAAATGATAAAGTGGAGTTCATTAAAATAAAACGTATCTACTCTGCAAAAGTCACTATTGAAAGAATAAGATGACAAGCCACAGAGTGGGAGAAAATATTTCCAAAATACATATCTGATAAGACAGTGATATCAAAAATATACAAATAACTCTTCAAATTTTACAAAAAAAAATGAACAACCAGATTAAAAAATGGGCAAAAAATCTGAACAGACACCCTACCGAAGAAGAGACACAACATGGCAAATAAGCACAAAAAAATATATTCAAAAGGATATGTCCTTAGGAAAATACAAATTAAGACAGTGAAATACCACTACACATCTATTAGAATGACCAAAATCCAGAACACTAATAATACCAAATACTGGCAAGGAGGTGAAGCAACGTTGTTGGGAATGCAAAATAATACGGCCACTTTGGAAGACAGTTTAGCATTTTCTTAAACACACACACACATAATCATAGCATACTTTCCAGCACATGCACTCCTTGTTATTTACCCAAAGGAACTGAAAACAGGTCCATACAAAAGCCTGCACAAGGATGTGTATAGAAGCTTTATTTATGATTACCAAAACTTGGAAGTAACCAAAATATCCTTCAGTAGGTGAATGGATAAACTGTCCTCCATATGGGCAATGGAATATTATTCAGTAGCAAAAGTACATGAGTAATCAAGCCATAAAAGGACATGTAGGAAATGTAAATGCCTATTAGTAAATAAAAGAAGATAGTCTGAAAAGGCTAAATACTATATAATCCCAACTATATGGCATTCTAGAAAAGATAACACTATGAGGATCGTAAAAAGATAAATGGTCATCAAGAATTTGGAGGGATGAAAGGATAAATAGGAGAAGAACAGAGAATTTTTAGGCTAGTAAAACTATTCTGTATATACTATAATGATGGACACGTCATTATACATTTGTCAAAACCCACAGAATATATAACTCAAAAAATGAATCCTAATGTATAGACTTTATTAATAATGATGAGTGAATTCTGTTTCATAGATTATAACAAATGTACCATATCAGTGTGGGACGTTGATGGTGGGGCAGCTGTGTGTGTCAGAGGAAGAAGAGGATATATGGAAACTCTCCATACTTTCCACTCAATTTTTCTGCAAACCTAAAATCCCTCTAAAAGCTAAAGTAGACTAATTAAAACAAATAAAAATGTAAAGTTTTACAAATTTAAAAAGAACCATGGGGGAGAGAAAAACCTAGGAAATTTCAAAAGACAGGTCGTATTTTTGATACTTTGAGAAAACAATAAAATAAGGGCTCTCGAACTCTGAATTAGGGGAAAAAGCTAAACAAAAAAAAAAAAAACTATTCTCTAACATATGGTTCAACAAGATCAAGTAGATTCATTTCCTTGTATTTCTCCCTCTATTGAAAAATCTGGATATTTTATATGAAACAAACATAAAAAACATCTCAAAGTTGAAGAAAAAATGATATATTAGCTAGGGATCCTGTGACTTGAGGAATGACATAGCAGTGCGTTTCTTACACTTTGTATTCCTCAACTGGGTGCTGAAGAAGTCAGCAACCCAGAAACACCAGTGAATTCAATCATACAAACCAAAGAAAGCTCCAATAAAGCCTGCTCTTTTTAGCCAAAGGACCAGGAGAGGAGAAGCCGAGCAAGACAGAAAACTTATACAGAATAACTGCTCTATCACAAACACCATGGAAACTATATGGCCTCTACATTTACCCCCAAACCAAACGCCAGTGGTGAGCCTGGACTGCAAATCACCCAGCAATAATAAAGCACCCTTCCTGTTCAGGTGGTGGCAGAAAAGGCTTAGTAGGAAGCCAAGATTTTTACCATCTTCCAGTGTTAATAAGATACCCATATGGTATCAGTGAAGTTCACCTGGCAACAATAAAAAGGTCACCCTACCCATACTAGCTAGGTTTGTGAGTGGGGAGCTTGAAATCTCACCTCTGCCCAGTGGAACTGAGGCACTTGTAAATCAGTAGAGACTGAGCGGGGAACCTTGTAAATCAGTAGAGGCTGAGTGGGGAACCTCGACTCTTACTCCCATGTGGGAGTAACAAAGAGGTGCTCCCATATATCCTGCTGATGTAGTAGCAAAAGCAGCATGCTAAACAGGTTTAAATAAGATCCAAAATAAAAAGAATATAAAGTCTAGTAAATAAATAGGAAATATAAAGAATCAAATGAACATTTTAGAACTGAAAATACAATATTTTTTAAAACTCAATGGATACTTTCAATACAGTGTGAATACAACAGAGAAAAGAATCAGTGAACTTAAAAAGAGAACAATAGGAATAATTCAATCTGAACAACAGAGAGAAAATGGACTAAAAAAAATGTTAGCACTCCCTCTTGCCTTTTGAACAAATAGGAACTCATTTCAGAGAAAAGTACTCAAGAAGAAAAGATTCTAGTAGAATCAAGTATAAAGTTGTTATGGTAAAAATAAGTAATACCTCTACCAAAAAGTGAAAGCTTATCAGAGAGGCATGGCCTTACAAAGATCAAAATTGTACCTAAAATTTCAAGTTGAAATAATACAAATTAAGAAAGTAACACAAGTAATGAAAAAAATCAACATAAATTATAATTAGAACAACTTTAAAAAAAGAAGTGATAACAGGAACACAGACATGTAGAAGGGAATAAGAGACATTAGAGCCTACCAGAGGGTGGAAGGTGGGAGGAGGGAGAGGATCAGGAAAAATAACTAAGGGGTACTAGGGTTAATACCTAGGTGATGAAATAATCTGCACAACAAACCCCCATAAAACAAGTTTACCCACATAACAAACCTGCACATGTATCCTTGAACCTAAAATAAAAAGTAAAAGAAATAAAACAAGATTTGAAAAGAGAAGAAACATAATTAATGAAATTTTTTTGTAATTTTAACAAAAAAGACTAAACTAAAAGAAACACAAAATCCATTGATAATACCTTTCAGAAAAACAAAAAAGAAAAAAATTAAATTTGAAAAATTGAAAAGATAAAAACAGTTTAAGAAAAAGTAATACAAAAGATAGACAAGAAGATCCACCATAAGTAGTATCAAAATTCTAAAGTAAGAAAATCAAAGCAATGCAACAGAACAAACATAATAGGTTATAACAAACCTTATAACACTTGAAGTTATATACTGGAAGTGCACACTGCCTACTTGGGAAAACCAACCCAGGATGAGAAATATTGAAATATAATAAATCTACATAAATTTAAAGGAAAAAATTTTTAGGTATCTAGGCAACAATTATAGAATACATTCTTTTCAAATGGTCATGAAACATTCATAAGATATGCCACAAGAAGGTATGGTGGGCCATACAATATGATTCAGTGGAACTGATTACAACAGATTTAAAGGAGAACTCAGTAAGATGCAGTAAAATACCCCAATATTCAGTAAAGACACACTTCTAAATAACCCATTTCAAAAAGAAATCACAAAGAAAATCAGTAAATATTTCAAAATAATAAAACATATCAAAATTTGTATGATGAAGCTACAGCACTACTTAGAGAGAAATTTAGTTTTAATCACCTATATTGGGAAGAAAATAAGATTTGGGTTCAGTTACCTAACTTGCCAATTTAAAATGCTTGAAAAAAAAACCCAAAGAAGTATGGAAAAGAAGAATGACAAGAAATTAAGAAACAAGTAGACAAAAGAAAAATGTTGACTCTTTGAAAAGATTTTTAATATCCATAAACCTAGCAAGATTACACCTCAAAAGTAATAAAACAGCACAAACCTTACCTTGGCCAATTCTGTAATTTTACCAAAACCAGGCTTCCAAGAGGGAGCTGTGAATAGACAATCTTAAATCCACTCTGATGAAGCTGAGACTCTTCAGGGAAGTCTTCTTCAGAAATTGAGCAGTTATTATATCTTGAATCAGTGTTCATGAAGCAGTACCAAGGTTCATTATGATCAACTTTGGCTGCATCCTCATTTGATAACAATCTCCATTTCAAACAATTTTCATTCTCACATTGAATCCACATTTTGTTTACATACATGTTTTCCCCTGAGGAATCCATTGCATAGTTACAATATTCAATCTTACCATCCAAATTTTCTTTATCCATAAGGCATTTAATCTGGAAAATAAGAAAGAAGAAAATAACAGAATGAGGATTCAGACCAAAATCAGAGAAATTCCTCTTTGATATCTTCTGTGCCCATCCCCTCTCTATCCTTCAAAGACCATGTATGCGAACACGTTGTTTCCACCTATCGAGAAACAAAGGAACAAAATGGAAACAACAATCACTCTAATCCTAAAATGCCCCAAAATTAAAAATAAGAAAAATATGATGGAGCCAAAGAGAAGTAGAGGTTGACTATAATTTCTATTGACCAACTATATAGCACACATCTGGTATCTATCAAGTATATTTTGCCATAATAACAGCCAAGCCTTACTGAATGCTGACTATGCACCAGGTATATTCTAAGTGCTTTATGCACATGACTCATATGGTCTTCCCAACAACCTTATATGTCGATTTTTACAGACAAAACTGAAGCTAAGAAAAGTAAAGCAATTTGTTTAAGGTCCTGGAGCTGGTACACAGTACAGCTGGAATTTAAATACAGGCAGTTTGGTTCTAAGTTTGTGATCTTACCCATTAGTTTGTACTGCTTCTCGGGAATATATACAGCATGACTAAATAATCCTTTTCTTCTTTCGTCTCAGGAAATCAAATGCAGCAAAATATTTCAACATACAAAAATTTAATGTTTTTTAAGTTAAAGAAATCTCTTAGTATTACCTTTTATTCATTTTTAATTCAATTTCTCAGAGCTTTCTCATTAGAAAAATGTTAAATATATAAAATGTTAGAATTGTATAACAAAGCACCCAAATTCTAGCTTCAATAACAATGTATGCAATAAGAAATATTATAAATAAAATACAAGTAAAACTAATTATTGGCAACTTATTTTGCAATACAAAGCCTATTTCTTAAAAATGAAAAGACTAATGTACCATATACATGAATTAGTAAAACACTACTAACCAAGTATAAGCACCATTTAAAGAACCCTTTCATTGATAAGTTAATCATATATTTAGAAGCTCACTTACTTATATTTGTCATATACCTTACCAGGGCCACTACAAATTGCTTTAGAAATTTGTCAATATATTTCAAAAACCATAGTTCAAAAATTTTGACCTATTAATCCCACTCATGCAAATGTAATAAAATAAATTTAAAAGAGACCAACTAACATGTACAAAGACAAAAATATTCCATGTAACACTGTTTATGATATTGAAAAAGTGAAAAAGTCTAAATGCAGAATCAATCTAGCAGAAGTTATAAACTTTTACTAATGATATTTGTATTAATGTGGTTAATTCTTTAGTTGATGAGAAAATGCATAAGGAGCAAAACTGCACTGTGCACTGGAACTGAAATGAATAAATTTTTTCTCTACTCTCTGGGTCACCAGTCAGTGAAGCAGAAGTGACTGAGTTCAGTCTTTGGAACCAGATTATGTGTTACTCACAGAGTCCCTGGTCCTTTGCTAGACTTTCCCTTCACATCAAGTTTGTGTGTGTAACAGCTTTTCTTGCTTGTTTAGTTCCAATCTTCATCTATTATCTTACTCTGCTGGCTAAGACAGGTATAATATTGACTAGAAGCCATGATAGTAGATTTCTTTTTCTAATTTTAAAGAGAATGCTTCCAGTGTTTGACTGTTATGTTGGGAGCATGGTTTTTGTAGAGACCATTAAAAGGTTACAGAAAGTTGTTTTCCTTCTATTACCAGCTTACCAAAAGGATTTGTTTGTTGTTATTAATCATAATGTGATATTTAATTTAATCAAATTCTTTCTGCATATACTGAGATAAATATATGATTTTCTTTTAAAATCATTAATTGAGTACATTGTATTCATGGATTTTTGAATAATAGCCTATACTTGCATTCTGGATAATCTCTATCTGGTTATACCTCATAAGTTTTTAATATACATTGCCATATTTGGTTCATTAATAATTAAGATTTTCCACATGTATGTATAAATAACATTTGTCTAATATTTTATTTCTCCTTTTGTCTTTGTCTGGTTTTGATATCAAGATTGTAAAAGTCTCATCAAATGAAGTGAAAAATGTTTCCCCATTTTTGGAAAGTTTGCCTAAGGGAGGAATTTTCTAATTTCAACATAAATTTTATGAATTTTTGTATATCTACTATATTTCTCACTATATTTCTCTTTCACTTTGAAGTTTATGCCCTCTCATTTTTTCTTCATTTCTCTTGTCAGAACTTATTAAACAACCAGAATTTGAGTCACCTTATTTTTCTGAATTCTATTTAATGAATAGCTGCACTTTTCTTAATTCTTTTTTTTTTCTTTCTTTGGACATTCTTTGTTGCTATTATTTTTCCCTTCTTGAGCTGATGCTTAATTAATTCGTTTTCAGTCTTTGCTAATATGAACATTCAAGGTTATACATTCCTCTCTCAGCATTGGTTTGTTATTTACTTTTAAATATACAGTTTCAATTCATCTTTGACTCATGAGTTTCTTAATTTAAAAAATTCAGCCGAGTGTGGTGGCTCACGCCTGTAATCCCAGAACTTTGTGAGGCCGAGGCAGGCAGATCACAACGTCAAGAGACCGAGACTATCCTGGCCAACATGGTGAAACCCCGTCTCTACTAAAAATACAAAGATTAGCTGAGCATGGTGGCGTATGCCTGTAGTCCCAGCTACTGGGGAGGCTGAGGCAGGAGAATTGCTTGAACCTGGGAGGCGGAGGAGCACTCCAGCCTGGCGCCTGGCTACAGAACAAGACTCTGTCTCAAAAAAAAAAAAAAAAAAAAAAAATCAGAAGGCAAGGGTATTTAAGAGTTATCTTTTTGTTATTGATTTTTAATGCAACTGTATTTTGTTCAGAGACTATAATCTGTGTGATACTGATTTTTTGGCATTTGTTTTGTGACTTGTGAATGTTATATGTATGCAAAAAAGGATGTGTATTATTCAATTGTTGGATGCAAGGTGTACATTTAATCATTATACCAAGCTTGTGTCAACCATTATAAATAAAATTTTATGATTGTGGGATTAGTTTTCTCTATCCATACTAAATGGTTGATATATTAATTACTATAAGGGCTATGTTAAAATCTCCCATAGTAATTGTGGATTTGTCAATTTATCCATGCAATTTTGTCAAGTTTCTTTGTTTATTAAATATATATGTGTTCAGATTTGTTACATTTTGCTTGTGAATTCGTTCTCATTTTATGTAATGATGCAATTTATCCCTAATAATATTCTTCACCTATTAAAATCTATTTGGTCCACTATTAACATAGCAATTAAGATAGTAGTTATGTTTTTGATTGGCCTGGTCCTGGTTATAACTTTTACCATGCCTTTACTTTTAGCCTTTCCAATACTAAGGGTTTTTTTTTATTTCCTCTGCCTCTTGTAAACAGTATATAGTTGGGATTTGCATTTTTATCCAATCTAAGATATGATCTGATAACAAGTGGTTTTAGTTCATTTACTTTATTTTGACACTGATATACTTGCATTTTTGTGCACATTTTATTATGCTATTTCTTTACTTTTCTCCTTTTCTAACTTGTATTGAAAAAAATTAATTTTATTCTCTCTATACTGGTTTTGACAAGTTTATGTTATTTTTATTACTTTAACAGTTACTCTTAATAATTTTTTTTTTTTCTGCGACAGAGTCTTGCTCCATAGCCCAGGCTGGAGTGCAGTGGTGCGATCTCAAGTCATGGCAACCTCTGCTTCCCAGGTCCCGGTTCAAGCAATTCTCTTGCCTCTGCCTCCTGAGTAGCTGGGGTTACAGGTATGCACCACCATGCCCAGCTAATTTTTGTATTTTTAATAGAGATCGGGTTTCACCAGGATGGCCAGGCTGGTCTTGAACTCCTGATCTCGTGATCCACCCGCTTCGGACTCCCAAAGCGCTGCGATGACAGGCATGAGCAACCCCACCCGGCCAATACTACTCTTAATACGTGATTTAACAAGGTATAAACTAAGCAATATCTCTACCATCTTCAAAATAACAGAATGCTTTAATTCAGATGACCTTTGTGTCTTTATCTCATTTCTTTCCAGCATCAGAGTACGATTTTGCATTTATAACTCAAAATTAGTTATAATTATCAAGTATGTTTCCTACAATGCTCATTTAGATTTTCCATATGTTTTCCAGTTTCTTTACCATCATTACTTAGTACACCTAGGAGTATTCATTGAATAAGGATGGTGAGAAAAAAGGAGTAAATAGCAGCTGGGTGTGATTGCTCACGCCTGTAATCCCAGAACTTTGAGGGGCCAAGGCTGGTGAATAGATTGAGGCTAGGAGTCTGAGACCAGCTTGGCCAACATAGCGAAACCCTGTCTCTACTAAAAATACAAAAGTTAGCAGAGCATGGTGGCAGGTGCCTGTAATCCCAGCTACTCGTGAGGCTGAGGCAGAAGAATTGCTTGAACCTCAGGGAGGCTGAGGTTGCTGTGAGCCAAGATCGTGCCACTGCACTCTGGCCTGGGTGACAGAGTGAGACTCTGTCGTAAAAAAAAAAAAGAAGAAGAAGAAGGAGAAAAAAGAAAAAAAATTAAGTCATCTGGAGTTTTCTGTGTTTGTAAATGATTAAGTTGGAAGACTCTACTTTTTGTCGAAGTAGTTAACCAATGATATAAATAATATTTATTTATCATTTAGTAATTGATCCAAAATGGCTCTTTATTCTAATTCATATATGTGCACATGAATCTATTTCTGGGCTCGGTATTCCTTTGTTTTAGATGTCTTTCCCTGTACCAAAAGAGATCCAGAAAATTCTTTTTTTTGGGGGGTACAGTTCTAGAAAGAATGAGATTATCAATAACAAGTTCTTTCAAAGACATTCTATTTATTTTTATTTCATAAGAAAAAGAGACTTTCCTAATACTTAATATCAAATTGACACTGGAATCAGTGTCACTAAGACCACATGTAAGCTGGTCATATTTGAGGTCTCCTGTTGAAAAGGTGTGAGATGCCATAACTTAAGGGGGTTTCACAAATGTTCCTTTCAGTTATTCATTT